TTTTTACTTAGCATCGTTTAATTCGTTACAAAAAAGTTATTTTAGTTAGTGAGTTTTCTGGGGTTCATTTTTTTTTTTTTTTTTATCCTAAAGGAAAACACCAATCCAACACAGAATACAGTTCAAATCGCTCACATCTTATGGGTGAAAATTATCAAAAGCATGACAGGCCAAGTCATGGCTAAGCCATAACAAAAATAAATAAATAAATAAATAAAAAAAACAAAACAAAAAGTTCCAAACCTAAAGCTTATAGGTGGGGAAAATGCATGAGTACATTAAAACACTGGCAAACTATGAGATGTAAATGGCGGCAAGTAGCGAAACACTTTCAAGACTGTTCTCTAGTTTGAGTTAGTGGAGCTCTATTTGGTGAATATATAATGGTTTACTTTGCCTTACGTTGACTTTCTTTGTAAACAAGAGATGGTCTGCGTGCTAGCGATGGCTCTGTGTTGTGCCTCGGTGGTGGGGGAGGGGGCACCTGTTGAGGTGGTTAAAGTTGTACTAGAAGTTAACAGTTTAGTCACTTTTAATAAGAGAGAGAGCTAGAGATACCTGCAAAAGTCAAAAAGGTTAATGTTTTTCAGGAGTATGTTTGAACTTGAACTCAACCGGTTGAAGAGAATGACTCAACATTAAATAGGATTAAAAGAACCAAGTGTTTTCCTTTAGTAGTTAGGTCTGTGTCTGCCAAGTATTACATGCAGTAGAGCTTGCTCTCATGAAAAACAATCATTTAGCCATAAGAAGCTAATAGTAAGTTTCAACTTTGACAGTTTTCAGGCTCTCAACATGACAAAATGGCATAAAAAATCCATCACTTTTAAAATGTTTACTTTGTGTTGGTTAAAAAAAATATCACAGACAAAATTAAACATTATAACAGAAGGGATTTTTTTGTGTCTTGTGTCATAATTAATGTTTAAGGAAGGTTGATCCATAAGTGGTTCTGCTTCACACAGATTTCAAACAAAACGCAAACATACAAAAAGAATACAAGTGGATAAGAACACATTTATACCCCCAACCATAAAAAAATGACAGCTGGCCACATACATAGGAGCTCTTCTAAGTGAGGGTTTCCAGTTACACACACACGCACCCTCCTATCTTCATAATTACTGTATAGTCAGCATGCCAGTGTTTGGGGGTGACTCTTAAAGTGAAATGTTGACAGCAGCAGAGCTGAGCTCAAGCTGGGACCTGTCAAAGGCCCGACACTGATATCATTATCCATGTAATTATTAACACTTAAGTGGACTACCTACTTATTTCAATATAATGGGTTTGAAAGCAAAGGCCAGATCCATGCTGCCCCCTTATTTCACAACTTCAGACCTTCTTGCGTCAATTATCAAAAGAAAATATGCTCTCCAGTTTCTTACAATTAGTTTAAATGCGGTTATTTTGCATTTGGACTGATTTCTTTTAATCCGTGCATTATATAAGAACACAGCTTACTGCACTTTCAGGTTTTTAGAAGGCTGTAAGTCAGGTAGTGAGAACCAACATTTTTGAATATACAGTAGAGTGTCTTGCAAAAAAGTAAAACATTTTTTATTTTTTTTGGGGTCAAACTTCAGCGTATTTTGGGGCTATTCTATCATAACCTTAAAGCTTATTGGTGAAAGAAAAATTCTGTTGTGAGAATCTGACAGCTGTTAGCTATCCCTTCACTCTGCCCACAATAAAAAGTAAATAAAAAAACAATCAAATGCAACAAACTGTCTTCAGAAGCCATCTGTGAGATTTAATCTCAGAGTAACTCCAGCTGTTCTGTGAAAGCTTCAGGTGTTTATTCTATGTCTTGTTTTGATAACATTACTGAACAATAAAGACTCCAGAAAAAAGCGGATACCCCAGGTATAAAGTTTGGAAGAAGATTGAATCCAGCTTGGATTAGAAAATAATACCCCAAACTTTACACAACTCCCAGGGCAACATTCATCATCAAATGGGCAACCAGAGAAGGAGATGGTTAATCAGATAAGCCGACAAAAGGCCAATGGTACCTCTGGAGGATGTGCGGAAATCCAGTCTGATATGATCCTATAGTACTGTTGCATAAATGAATTATATACCTTGCCATGTGAATGAAGGTTTTAGGGTTGACATAAATATTGTAAAAAAGGTGACAAGTTAACACAGACATAATTCATCAGTAGCTGCTGTGCATACTCTTTGTGATAATATATAACTACCTTTGCAAACACAGAGTAGAAGTGACAAGATAGAAACAGAATTAACTGGTTTGGAATGCTACAGGTAGGTCAGCCTCACTATATATTTCTAAGAAGTTGATCTTTTCATGAGACCCCCAAAAAATACACTGAAGTTTGAAGGTGTAGTTTGTCAAATGTAAAGAATTCTCAAGCGAATGAATAATTTTTTTTAGCTGTTTTTGCTCTTTTTCAATTAAGTGTTATTTGCTCAGAATGAATAAACTGTAAGGCAGATTAATCTTATGGAGGTTGATTTCCAGACACTGAGAAAAGGGAGCGTAAAAAAGCAGGACTCGGGGATCAGAAAGAGAACTCATGTTTGCATGCAAGTGCTCGTTTTGTTGGCAGAGCATTTCTGTGTTGTGACATTACATGAGAAATATGAGAAATGTCAGAGCAGCCTCTTCTCCTTTCCTGCTGGTGTAAATTAGATGTGAACCAGCAGGCCGCCAATGGCAGGAAGAAGCTATCCCACAAGCAGGGCTGACTATCTCCTTGCAGCTCTGCTGTACTAAAGCTCAGCAGAGGAGTTGAATAGGAGTGTGTGTTTAAAACTTAATGCAAGTGGCCCTTTGAAGGTCAGTGTGGAGCAAAGAGGGGCTGTTCCGTCTACTACTAATGGTATATTAATGACTCGAAATGCTCCTGCATCTCATGCACCGAGTTGAACTTACAAAACCAGAAAAGTGGAGACGCTTAAATGGATAGCAAATTACAGAACAAAGAAGGAGACAGACACACACACACAAAAAAATATTTAACAAATAAAGACAGAAAGCACTTACGGTTAATGGCGGATGTGTCCCTTTGCAATTTTTTACAGTGAGGTGGTTTTGTAAGAGTGAAAAACTGCAGCTTTTGATTTGCCAGAATTTAGATATTATTAACCAAATATCTGTTAATCTACTAATAACAGCTCTTCTGATCAACCATTTACACATTTTTTATAAGGCAACTATCATAAGCCAATCATATCAGGTATAAATATTATGTACAGTATGGAGCAAAATGTTTCTCCAATGAAGTGTTTATTGTTTAGCTTTCCAGAATAAATAATTTATGAAATAAGAGATAATTAACTATATGTATAAAACACTTTTTAAAATGCTATGGTGAAAACTGATCTTATTTATTTCTAGTGCCTAATGTCTGTGAATGGAAAAAAGGTAAGGTCAAAATATTCCTGAATACAATTAGCTGGGAGCTGTAGTATCACAATGCCAATATGCAATAAACTGTGTTCACTCAGACATGGCCACATATTTTATATATTTTATCTATCTGTGAAAGAGGTTGGATTGGTGTATTTTGATCAGACATGGGTTAGGGACAGGTAGAAGCATATATCAAGATTTTAAGGATTAAAGTTCAAAATCATACTATTCCAATGAGCGCTGCTGGTCAGCAGGCTGGAAAAGGACTGCTGCACTTTACTATACTCAAGAGAAAAAACGTTTTTTTTTTGGGGGGGGGATTACTATTATTATTATTATTATTATTATTACTATTATTATTAAACAAAAAAAAGACAATGTCTGGAAACTTAAGGGGTGCAACTGATCACTCAAGTTTAAGCAACATAAAAAAAAAAAAATTATACAGAATGGGTAGCATTTCTTATTGGTATACAGACTGGGACTTTTTAACCCAAGCAATACAGTATTGTGAAAAATTATGACCCTCGTACAGTTTCCTTTTCTTTTAATATTCTTAAATTTAAGCATGTCTAATCAGCCAAAGACAATCAGGTAAAATTTTAATTGTGTTTTCAGATGATGGTTCCATTTCCTAAATCCAATAAATCCAGGCCGTATGTGAAAAAAGTACTTGTTCCCAATAACTAAAACTAATTAGACCACCCCTGGAAGCATCAACCATCATTATTTTAGTCTTTAAAATAGCTGTGGATACTTGGTAGAATAGTCTTGAATTGGCTACTTGGGAGACTGTTCATGTGTGAACAACATTTCTAAGAACAGCATTTCAGTTGAAACTGAGTTTGAAGTTTGACTAGGTCAGCCCAAAACCTACTTTTTGAGCATTTAAATTTGTGTCATGTTTTTACCTATACAATCTCCGCCTATTTAAGGTTTATACCACAAGCTCCGTAAGAATTTTCCGGTTAACAGCTTTGTTCATGTATTAATCAATTATGGCAACTTTTTCACCTTCTGAAGCAGCCAAACTACTCCAGACAGCTACATTATCATTTCCATCTTCAGCTGTTAATCTGAGGTTCTTGTATAAATTTGGTTTTAGTAAGCGCCTTATGCTGACAGATACACGTCTTAAAAAAAAAAAAAAAAAAAAAAACTAGGTAAGTACTGTCTTGATTCTAAAAGTTGAGCAGTATATACTGTGACCCTGGATGTGGTTCTGTGAATTATATTGAACTCCTTTAAAAAAAGATGCTATTAATCACTATAAATTGAGTTTAAGAAAGGAATAGAATTTTGGCAAATACCGTATTTATTTTCACATTGTGTCATTTCATGATTTGCAAAAAAAAAAATTCTGATGTTACTCAGATCATGTTTATGCTATAGTACAATTCATTGTGAACAGAAACATTTTGTGGGAAAAAGGAAACTGCCCATTAAACCTGCTGATATTAGCTAATTATATATTTTTTATCTAAATACAATGAATATGTGGTATTTCTACTCGTGATGATGTGAGGAGAATCTCATGCCACCCATGCCAAGTAGAGTTTAAGTGTTACTGGCAGTGAGGGTGCATTTAAGTTCCCATCTGGCTTCTAAACGATGCTCTTACCTTGAATGTGGACATGGCTGGGTCCCTGTTATACCTGTCTATGGTGTGGAACTTGGACGAGTGGTTGAGCTCATGGTACAGCTCAGAATGTCTTTTGCGAGTGTGCATCACTTTCTGGAAGGGAAGAAAGGAAGGAACAGCAAAAATGAAGCAAATAGGAACAAATAAAAGATGACAAAGAAAAAAGAATGGATATTGCATGATGGGGTTAATGTGGGAACAGGCATGGAAATGTGTAAAAAGAAAAATAAAGGCAGTGGGACTGCAGCAATGCCAGCCATGAAAAGGGGGGTTAGAAAAGGACATCTACAGATCGATCGATTGCTGACTCATGCTCATCCGTCTTCCACTTCAACAGTCTTTTATTGTTTAGGATTGTTGCAGACAAGTCTTTTATGTTCAAAATCGTGTTACAGTGACTGACAAAAATGCCATTAGTACAGACTGTTCCAAGCTAAAAAGGAGAATTGCCAATTCCAGATTTTGCTAGTACCGGTAACTAATTGTCTATGAAATAAAGGATATTTGCTTAAAGGATTAGTTAGATCCTTTTCAGAGACAATTCAAATCATGATCGTATAACAACAAAAAAAATTCTTTCGAATAAATTTATGTCAAAGATATATATATATATACACTATATTGCCAAAAGTATTTGCTCACCCATCCAAATTATTGGAATCAGGTGTTCCAATCACTTCCATGGCCACAGGTGTATAAATTCAAGCACCTAGGCATGCAGACCGTTTTTACAAACATTTGTGAAAGAATGGGTCGCTCTCAGGAGCTCAGTGAATTCCAGCGTGGAACTGTGATAGGATGCCACCTGTGCAACAAATCCAGTCGTGAAATTTCCTCGCTCCTAAATATTCCACAGTCAACTGTCAGCTGTATTATAAGAAAATGGAAGTGTTTGGGAACGACAGCAACTCAGCCACGAAGAGGTAGGCCACGTAAACTGACGGAGCGGGGTCAGCGGATGCTGACGCGCATAGTGCGAAGAGGTCGCCAACTTTCTGCAGAGTCAATCACTACAGACCTCCAAACTTCATGTGGCCTTCAGATTAGCTCAAGAACAGTGCGCAGAGAGCTTCATGGAATGGGTTTCCATGGTCGAGCAGCTGCATCCAAGCCATACATCACCAAGTGCAATGCAAAGCGTCGGATGCGGTGGTGTAAAGCACGCCGCCACTGGACTCTAGAGCAGTGGAGACGCGTTCTCTGGAGTGACGAATCGCGCTTCTCCATCTGGCAATCTGATGGACGGGTCTGGGTTTGGCGGTTGCCAGGAGAACGGTACTTGTCTGACTGCATTGTGCCAAGTGTAAAGTTTGGTGGAGGGGGGATTATGGTGTGAGGTTGTTTTTCAGGAGCTGGGCTTGGCCCCTTAGTTCCAGTGAAAGGAACTCTGAATGCTTCAGCATACCAAGACATTTTGGACAATTCCATGCTCCCAACTTTGTGGGAACAGTTTGGAGCTGGCCCCTTCCTCTTCCAACATGACTGTGCACCAGTGCACAAAGCAAGGTCCATAAAGACATGGATGACAGAGTCTGGTGTGGATGAACTTGACTGGCCTGCACAGAGTCCTGACCTCAACCCGATAGAACACCTTTGGGATGAATTAGAGCGGAGACTGAGAGCCAGGCCTTCTCGTCCAACATCAGTGTGCGACCTCACAAATGCGCTTCTGGAAGAATGGTCAAAAATTCCCATAAACACACTCCTAAACCTTGTGGACAGCCTTCCCAGAAGAGTTGAAGCTGTTCTAGCTGCAAAGGGTGGACCGACGTCATATTGAACCCTATGGATTAGGAACGGGATGTCACTTAAGCTCATATGTGAGTCAAGGCAGGTGAGCAAATACTTTTGGCAATATAGTGTATATATATATATATATATATATATATATATATATATATATATATATATATATATATATATATATATATATATTTAAAGGCAATCCTGGATTGGTTAAGCAGAAGCTAATTATTAAAGCACTTTTCTGAGTTTGAAAGTGAAACAGGCAAATTCTAGCCCCACTCCTCCAACCAACTGACCAATTATACATATAGCTATAACTTCAAACATTGTACAATAACTCATATCAGACCCATACCTCTTCCTATTAAGGAACTTGCCTCTACTTTCCTTTTATGTTCTTTTTTAAAAAATATTCTGTGTAATAAAATTTAACCCCTGCTGAATACAATACAATCAGCAAAATGACAAAACAAACACACAAAAAACAAAGAGTTTAGGCAAAAGATTTCATCACACGTCCGCTCAAAGAATAAACAAATAGAATATTCTTTTTTCCCCCTCAAATTCCTCTCAGAATGTGCCAGTTAATCAAAACTAAAAATTATTTTCCTTTCATTTATCATGGATATATAGTATATAATGCTTACTTACTGGCACTCCTTTGAAGCTTAAGTAAAATGCTAATTGGAATGAAATAATCTAAGATTAACACATTTAAAAAAAAGAAATCCATCTTGATACAAGTCATTTTTGAATGTTTGAAATCTTGTCATCAAGTAAATATTTTTAATAAAATCACTGCTACCACATTTAATAGCAGTCACTAAAATTATTCTGAAAAAAACAACAACTATAATATTTGTTGATCAAAGTACACATTTTAAAACCCCAAAACCTCCTCTTTGCATTTCCACTGGTATGAAGAGAGCTGATAATTGCAGACACTCTTTAAAACAGGTAAGACAGACAAGAAGCAATAAACTGTTCTAGAAGCCAATGTTTCTAAACTACTGTACTGGCTACATGGCTAGACGAGGTTCCAACTTTTCTTAAAATCAGACACATTATGGTGAATGATGACTGAAACAAAGCAAGGCCCAAAGCTCATTGTTAAAGCACTGCTTCAAAGAATCATTCAATCTCTATGACAACCATTTGGCCTGAATGGGAATTGTTTTTTTATTGTTTGTTTTGTTTCTTAGGTGGGTGGGCATGTAGAGAATAAACCCACTATGTTCAACTGCCACAAACACGAACAAGTGGAGTTTAGAAAACACAACCTGGGCTTTCACTAGAACACAGCGATCTGGTGATATGAGTCTAAGATTGACCTTTTCAGCAACAATCAGTTCAAGTGGGTGGGGTGAAATAAAGGCCAAAATATGTGGAAAAGCCTCTGATGCCCGTTTTTAGCTATGGTTGAAGATCTACAGTATGATGCTGTGTGCCTACTTCTGTTCTGAAGGGTGGTTGGACCTTGTTAGAGTGTGTCATGAACTGCCTCAAACAAAAATGATACAATATAACAGTCCGCTCAGAAAAGCTCCCAAGACAAAATCCACTTTTAACCAGAAAGAATATGCAACTATTTTTCCTTTGACTTAAAGGCAAACCACAGACCACCTAATTATTTGACATGTATGGGTTATTTTGAATTATTCCTTTTGCTCTACTATTTTTCCACCTGCTTGACTACTGGTCATGGCTAAGGCAAGGAAAAAGTTTAAACCTTCTCGACTTAAAAGAGAAAAAGGGAAAGGGATTGTGCGCAAGTAAAAACAAGAGTCGTTCTTGGAAAGGAGTTTGTTTGTGGCGCAGACTGAAAGAAGAAGCCTGATGTAAAATCAATTCTCTTTTCTAAACTCTATTATTAGACTGGTAGGTTAACACTTTGCTTCTAGTATAGTCATATATCTTTGTTATTTTTTATGCCAAAAATTAAAGCTACTACGGGAACTATTGTAAAAGTTACAGGTCTGCTGCCACTAGTGGCCAAAAATTACACAGTGTGCCTTTAAGTACAAAAATATTTTCTTTAATTTCAGTGAAAGTATACCACTGGAACGAAAAATAAAGATAGCTTGATTTTTAAACTAGAAGTGCCAATAATGATGAAGGGTGCAGTAAATATATTTCTGAGGATGCAGGCGAATATCTGTTCTTACCAACAGTGAGAGTGCCATACATACAAAAGACAAAACAACAGTTGTATGTACAACTGAAGCTTTTTAGCAACTAGAATCTTAGAGGACAAGGGGTTAATTCAGAAAAAAACATTCAAGAAAACAATACAAAACCATCATTTACCAACACATATAACCAGAGACATCAGCTTTAGTCACAAACTTCTGCGGCTCAAGAGTCAAGTAATCCAGACAAAAAAAGCAGTCAAGTCAACTGTTTCTTCAACCAGGATCCCACAAAGTCATGAGGTACAAATAGATGTACACCTCGATGATCTCTTCTTTCTTACACAAACAATGTCATTCAACATGAACAACAGTTTAGGGCCTTTGTTGCAGAAACAGCATACTGGGTACGGTAGCTCTAAAGAACAATTTTATTTAAGTGCAGGGGGAGACAAGGGTGGGAAGGTTGGGGGTTAAGCAATGCTTTTTGCTCCTCTATGTGTTAATTAGGTCCTGGCAAAAGCACAAGAAAGCAGAGACAGGCATATGGTAGTGGATGAGGTTTGAGATCTTACCTCAAAGTCCAGCTCAGAGTACCGTACTCTTTTCCTCTGGAAGAGGAGGGGGCAGGGGGAGAGAAGACAGCATCAATAACTAGCCTGGACTGAAACGGATATTCACGATCCTCCCTTGTGGACCCCTTCCTTTATTAAATATATAGAAATCCTAATATGTACTGGCTGCCTAATACATCAAATAATTTTTAAATGTTAATCAAGGAATAAATTATTTCAATGTTAGGGTGTAATTACCTAAAATTTGTATTAAATTAATTTTTCACTCACTTACTTCTGACAAGTGAGTCATTTTATTCTTATGCTTTTCTTAAGGATCATTATGCTTGAAAAAAAAAAACTGCATACCACATATTAGAGAAGGGTTCCTACTTTATTCATGCTTAGACCCTGCTTAACTAACTTTAAGTACCTTCAAAGCTTTAGAAAGTGGCACACAAACCAGCAGTTTAACAGCTGCAGATATTCCCAGCTCATCTGGCCACCACACTGCTTCAATTGCATTCCATCTCCTTCTTCCTTTCTGGCTCCAACTGTCTGACAGATTTGCATTTTGGCAAAGAGAGGGGCAGCTCTCCACAGTTAGTTAAAAGCTGCGTTAATTTTTCCAAAAGGCCAGAGTTGTTGAAATGATGCCATGTCAGCCATGGATTTAGAACAGGGGTGGTTGATTTCAGTCTTCAAGGATGTCCTGCGTGTTTTAGATACATTTCCTGCATGAACACCACTGTTTTTAAAGGCTGGCTCATTTGCAGTTGAATGCAGAACCTAGTGACAGGCCTGAGAGAGAATTCAACTATTGGAATCAGAGGCATTGGGGCAGAAGCACATCAAGAGCATTTAGAACACTGGCCACTGCGTACCATAATTCACAACCACTGATTTAAACAATAAAGCAATATAGTTTTAGAGGTAGGTCCAGTTATTAGTTATTCTTTCTATATTATTACCCTTAAGTATTTACAATACAAGTAAAATACTTTAGACCTTACCTTTACCAGAGCAGTTCCTTGCTTAAACTATTTTATAATGCCACAGTATGTATTGATTACAACAGTTGTGGTGAATCCTTGTCATCTGGTACTGGTGTCCTGCAAGTTTTTATTTCTTATTTTTTCTGCTTTAAAGCACCCTGTTTCAATGGATGGGGTATATGTCCAACTGAGTTTCACTTCTGAAACTGGTGTGTTTGCAAAAAATAAAAAATGCTCCCAAAACATACAAAACATTGTTTTAGATGCATATTGCTACTAAGGACCACAATAGCAGACTTCTAAATTACAAAGTAAAATTATTCAGCTTAGGAGGTGAATCTCAGCTTTCTTGATTTCCCTTTCTGTGTTAAAATGTAATTACAAGCACGCAATCCTTACCTTGAACAGAGCAATTCCATGACTGAGCTAACTTTACAACATGACATTCATGCATCATGCATATACCTGAGCTGTATATAGCATGGTTTGATGGTGACACACCTAAAGAAACTCCTTCACACAAATGATAAATTGGACTTATTCGAGCACATGAGCTTTTCCTTAAAATACTTTACGATCATACGCTTTTTAGAACTTCACATCATTCTGTTAACCATGAAAAACACAAAGAAAAATGAAAGCTGATAGTGGGTGTGGGTAATTTCTCATTTGCATGCTGCAGTGTTAAAGCTGTGGAGCAGAACACCCTTTTTTTAATCTTACGAGGCATACTCTTTTATTCATTTCTAAATCAAGCATAATCAAGGTGAAATATAGCAGCAATTTGGGTTTGGCAGGTTTCTCTGCAGAATCCTCCTTGTACTTCTCCTTTCTCGGTTCTCATAAAAGCTTTCGCAGTTCTTTAAAGCGTCCAATTCCCTTGATTTTTATGACTAAGCTTGAAATGACGCATCTTCAGTTCTTCAGCATCCAAGTTGATGCTTTCCTGTCTTTAATCAATCTGGTATGCCATTTCAATATTTAAAATATGTATATCTATAAGTTCCTGTGTTTGTGTGATTGCCTTTTTATGTATGTATGTATGTATGAATGACAATAGTTGTGTAGTTGTGTACACATTTACGGTAGGATGAAGACATTTGCCAAGGGGGCATTTCCTCTGATCCCGTCTGCCTTAGTCTATCTGCTGTGGCACCTTGTGCAGTCAGGATGGGGTTTTGCACAACAGTATCACACTCACATAAGGATGGTAAACTAATAAGAAGCCTTCTGTCGATATGGGAATGACTCATTTTGGTGTCTCAGTTGGCAGCAATAAATACTAGTCAGCTGAAAATAATTGCAGTTGTTATAGCAGACTTGTTCTCAAGCACACTAAAGCGTTCTTGTGACAATATTTATTGGGAGTATTGTTCCTCAACAGATGTGTTGAAGAATGCCTTTTTTTAAATTCAGCTGGTCTTGCTTAAAGACAACACCCTTTGGATTTACCATGTTTTCCTTAAGGGTAAACAGCTTTACCCTACAAAGACATTAATGTTTTATCTTCATTGTTTTTCAAACATTCCTTGTTTGATACATTTTATTCCAAATGCCTTAATGACTTTATACAATTAATAAACATTTAATGCAACTTGAAGTTGTCGTTTTTTTTGCACTGCATAAAACAGTTGTGTAAACTGAATAAGGCACTTTAAATAACTAAACTTTTATTTTGAAAGGCTTCTTTCCACTTTAATTCATCACTGTTCCATCACTTACGTAGGCACTCCACCACATTTATAATAGTGAAAAACCAGTTAAACTAAAAGTTGTGAAGAATCAAGCCACTCCTTGGAACTATTTCTGGCCATTTTCCAAAGCCTTCTACTCACCTCCAGGGATCCCGCTGAGAGGCTGGTGTTGGCATTGGTGCTGCCCAGGTTGCGTGGAAGGGTGCGGGTTCTCTCCACAGTTGTTCCCCCTGTCAGAATCTGTCTGACTGATGGCCTCTGGCCTGGCTTTAGGTGGAGTGAATGCGCGTGGGAATGGATGTGTCCTCCGTGGGAGTGCACATGTCCACCTTGACCCATCAAGTGGCCATGCCCATGGGGCACGGTTTTGATAGTCCCGTAGGAGCGGTTTAGGTTCATGGTGATATTCATATCACCAACACTGGACGGTACAAAGTCCGCCGGATAGGCTTCACTCTCTGCTGGGTGAAGGGTAAGTGGAGAGGGAGGAGGGGGAAAGGGAGGGTCCTCAACTCCAATGTTGAGAGGTTTGTCTTCCCCACCAAGTCCCAGGCCTCCTCCTTGCGAAGAGGATGCTGGAGGTTTGAGACTGACTGTCCTACGAGGCAAGACCATGTAGTCTCCTTCCCCACCTCCCACACTTCCTCCCCCTCCACTCCCCCCACTTCCTGCACTTCCATCCTGGGAATTGTTGGAGGAAGCGGGAGGCCGAGCCCACCCTAATCCGCTCTCGGTACACAAGTATATTGGAGCAGTACTGCGTGGCTGGCCCTGCTGTCTCTGCTGGTCAACGTTTACCTCCTTCTTTAGGGGTGTCTCGCTGAGCTCATTAAGTCCTCCTAATGTTGGCACCTTATGAAAAAAAATACATTATATTTAATTTATTTAATAATTTTCCAGAAATTAAATAATCATTTTAATTTTACAAATAAAAATTATATTTTGGGATTTTTCAAAAATAATAACAGGCAGACTATTTTTCCCCCCTCTTATAATCATACCAAATAAAAAAACGTACCAAATAAGCCACTATTTCAAACCAGTACCTGTACAATGAGGTTTGGAGGTGGGATGTTTCCAGGAAGGGAACTGAAATTGACCCCCACGCCCCCCTCCTGATGTGCTGCAAGCTTTGGATCATCCTCATCATCCAGGGAGATTCGTGACAGGGTTCCAGTGATGGTGGCTGGGTTGCAGGTGTTGACCTCTTTGAAAATGACTGAAGGAGGAAAAGGGAATCAGAGAAAGATGCAACAACAGTAAGAAAGTATAAGACTGGCATGAGACAGGGGAGAGTAAGTCAGTTTAGCTTTTAAAAGGGTAAAAGCAGAGTTTAGGAGTTTTTAAGTAGGGAGTTGAATTAGGGAAATTGAAAATCTTTTAATATTAAAATAAATCAATTTTATCAAACAGAAAGTGAAGTGGGTTTAACATCTAGACAGATTAGTTAAACTGCATTACTGAATGAATGCTTTCTTTCACATTCTAGATGTCATCCCTTTTTAACTAGATAGCAAGCAAATACTGTATGCTATATGTAGTGTCAGACATGCAACAATTATGTTATTGAAGGTTACAATGGCCTATCAGGAGACATTTCTGTCTATATGTCCCATGTGCAGATCTATATATTAAGTTCAGGAAAAACTGTCCTATCTAAGACAATGCATAAATGCACACAGCATACACACTGTGAGGAAAGTGGGTACCCTTAAACTGCCACTCCCACTGAGAAATTTAGATGACAGTTACATTTACAGTTTAAGCAGGACATGTATTCAAGATGTATGCATTTAACAATTGCAAGAAGAAAAATTAAAATCTGTTCCTAAAAAATCTCTTCTTGTTCCAAATGGCATAGTGTCATGCTATTCACAATTGCCAGCAGCAACATCAAACATAAATCAGGACAAGCTGGAAACCATGCTTAGCTTGCTTAGCATAACAGTCAAACATTAGCCATAGAGTTTAAAAATGACTTGGTGACCCTGAGATTCACACACATATCTGATAGTTCCAAATTATTTCATTCAAATGTCCAACTAGAAGACTGAGGAACTGATTTCATGTAAAATGAGTCAAGCAACATGCATGATGATCGAGCATATAGCCTCAGATTTATTTAACTATATAATTATTGAGAATCGGTCAAAAGGAGCAGAATGGTTAAAGGACGTGGGATCCTTTATAAATGTAGGGCCTATGAACTTAGAAGAAAATTAAAAAAAAGAACTATAGAAGAATCTGGCACCCTTTTAATGTGTTATATAGAATAGTACAACATTGATAAAAAAAACAAAAAACGTATTTTAGATATTAGTTAAATGGATTTTAAAATAACCATTAAAAACATTTCATGAAAATATAAATAAAACTGTTTTATTCAAACTTCTTAGCCATACTCTTCAAAGTGAAATCTGTTCATAAAACACTATCAACTGAATGTCATCTTGTGGCTTTAGTTGCAGAACTCAGTGGAAGCAACTTCTGTAGACATTTCACATAATCGTCTTTACTTAAAGGCTGGAAAGGTATTGTACCCACGTCTAAGACCTCTATGCTAAGGTGACAACAGAAGCTTTAAAAAAGATGACTTGTCAGGCAAGCCAACAACAGCAATTTATAAAAACGTCAAATAAATATTTGTTGCTTTTAATCTGGAGAAATTTTGGGGACAAAAACAAAACACTGATAGAGTTACGGGTGAGATAAAGACACAGCACTGTTGGCAACTGCCTCACAGCTACCTACTGCTGCTAAACTAAAGGCTCTGGACTCATGCTGATTTGTTTGATTCTAGTTAAAATCATATATACTTTACCTAAACAAGATTATTGTTCACTGAAAAGTTATTTTAAGATTTACTAAATCCTTGCATTTATTAAAGAAAAAAAAACTTGCAATGGGACTTTCAAGCGAGTTTGCATCTTGCTTTTGAACGTGCTTAAAATAGATGCAAAAACTAGACAAGCGATCTTTTTCAGGCTTGATGAATGGCCTTGCAGGTGATAGTAACATATGCAAGTCTTCCTCTATGCTTTTTTTATTTCCTACTGATCAGCACATATTCTGTGTTTTAATTTAAGTTTATTTAATTTACTTTTTTTCATGTCACAGACCATTTCAATTTGCACCTGGTTAGTTGATTAGCTTTGCAAAGTATATAAAGTTTGCATGTGTTTTACACGCAGACCTTTAGAGGATCAGATCTTTTGTCAAAGTATTGCGCCCCTTTAAAAACCTTCAGTATAGCACTATTAGGGCAGACCAAATGGGCAGCTGTCCCTTGTCTAAAGTAAAGATGCACCACTTTTTTTAAGCTTAGAATTTTCTTAATACAGACTAAAACTGAATTAGATTTCTATCAGCAATGGCACAAAACATTGTTAAAAAACAGGAATAAATAACAGGAATACAGTTTTCCCTTTTGAGTAGATCCTGATGACTATTCCATTCCACTTACTTCCTTTTAAACATACTTTTATTTCATTTTCAGCACCTTTAATATGTGCTCTTATCTTAGATGAAGCATCAACACTAGGCTCTTAATGTCAGCAGGAACTTTAAGAGTTTATGGTTCTTTGTCCACTGTTAAAAAATAACATCCAGTTTGTGAAGCTTTTACAGTAGTGTAGAGAATAATATTAGTGATATTTTTTTTTATTATTGGATAAAAATAATTTGAATATAATGGTTAAACTTCATATATTCTAGCACTCTGGTGCTAACATGGAATGTATTGTAAAAAAGCAAAAACTAAATCCTATAAATAATAGTTTGCAATGAAGTGACTCTGGAAATGATGTTGGTTTGCAGTGAACAACCCATAGTCAAAGCCTGTTGTTTTTAAGGTCCATGAAGGTCCATTCTCCTAAGCACATTCCAAGTGAAATGTATATCATTGGCTGGATAGTTTTTTTTTTTTTTGTGTGCAAGGGCTATGGCTGTCCATTTGACCCAAATGGCCCAACAAATAGCACATACACATAGCCAAATGGTCTGATCCATAGTTCAAACTCAACAAAAGACTCGAATAACCCTCGAATAATGCTTTGAAGGGTAGATCTCCATGATGCCTAAAAACATCACAGATAGATCTGCAAGCTTATATAAAGGATAAAGATTAGAAACATCTTCAGAAAATTGAAAACACCAGTTGCCTCAGATTTGAGCTGTTTTGTGGTTGACGTGACCTCGATATGACTGAGAATTTACACAGGCATCTGTAAATGTGTATATATATATATATATATATATATATGTTTTTTATTTATTATGACTATTGATGACTGATGTAACTTCCTGAAAAACAAACACTACTCAGCACAGCATTAATTACAAAAGGGTTCAACCTAAATTCTTCTATAGGGGAGATTAAAGTTCATTATGGTTCAGGTAGCGTTAAAAACATTAGGCGGGTGCAAAACTTACATGGGTGTCCTCTCTCTGCAAGGGTAGAGGGGGAAAGTGACTGTGTTAATACATCAAAGCACAACACACCAAACTGCGGTACATCTGTAATACAGCCAAACACCACATTAGACCATTGTCAGCTAACGAATCAAACAGGTCTGAGCACACTAAGGAGTGTTATTACCATGCACAATTAAACACAGTCTCATCCAAACATATGCTTGCAGAACACTTATTGGGCAGAATCAGTGTGATTGATAAGGAATAGAAATTTGAACACAGCAATGTGGAGACATAGTGTATAAACTCCTGCCGTTTCATCAGCAAGCCAAGGATGCAACACCCTGCAATGCTAAAATGCATCAGGTAGACAGAGATAAAAGAGAGGCTGAGGGAGCAGATGGAGGGGAGGACTCACCTGTTTGACAAGCCAAGTCCACATCCTTCTCAAAATCTGTCTATAAAGAAAAGGAAAGAAATGAGAGAGGAAATGCAAGAGTGAGTCCTACATTAGCATTAGAGCATTTGGATCTCAATGCTTTAATGCTAGGATATGATCTGTTGCCTTGGCGAGGCTTTACGACTCAGTAGATTAGTATCAAGAACAAAAAGACACCCCCTTAGGTCATTCATCAAATGTTCAGCTCCTATTTTCCGTATAATAGAGCTGCTTACAAACTTTTTAAAACATAAAAACTCACATAAGATTTAAAAAAAAAAAAAATATATATATATATACTTGGAGCAAAAGCGCTGAAAAACTGCAACCACAACAGTTGATCCAAGAATAGACAGCGGAGCAAAAAACAAGAGGGAAAGTTTTTGTGAGGTTACTTTACAACTCATCAGTCACCACAACAACATTGAATGTTTGCAGAAACTGACACTGAGGCAGACCTATTACTTGCTGTGCTTGCTGAGGCAAAACTTTGTCTCACAGTTTGACAGTAAAAAGAAAGTGATTGGAAAAAATAAAAATGCTTTCTGTCTTTCCAGCTACTACCAACCACAGAGAAATTTAAACAAACAGCGATGAGTTCAATCCAAATTTAACATTTCAAGGGTATGTTGATAGGGTGTTGGGGACATTCCTCCACATATCCTCCACTAGAGGATATGGTGATCATTGCAATTCAGGTGTAGATGTCCCTTCTACCAACACAACCAAACTTCTATATATTTACAAACGCCTTCATCTGGGTAATAAACCATGTTTTAGACAGTTTGAGCATGTGATGGGTAGAGAGAAAGTAGACAGTGTGGAGGAAAAACTGAAAAGAATGAAGGAGTAACGGTGTCCCATTTTAGCATCCCCATTAGCAGAAAAAAATAAATAAATAACTTAGTCTGCAAACAACCCACAGCTCCATTCAGAAATGACTCAATAGGTAAATGCAGAAATACAGATCAAATCTCATTTAATCAAATAAAGAAAATTAAAAACATGAATTTTAACCTTGAGACATGAATGCAGTTATAGCCTAAGAACAGTCATTGAAGAGTGGAACATTCTTGAGTGTGATTTAATTCTTTCTAGTACCTAAGCCTTACGACAACACACACACATACTGCTTGACTATTACTACTAACTCACAAAAGGTGCAATATGTAATATACTCAAAATTGTAGATCATAAAACTAAAAGTTGTTTAGTAAAATAGATATTTTAGTAACAACTCTTTCACCTGCTGACCAAAATTTTTTGCATTATACAGTATCTAGATAATATAGTAGCTATAATTGTTTTGCTTAGCCAGTGATTATCTTTAGTGTTCTGCGCTTGGCTAAGTGAGGCTTTAAATGCAGTCTTACAGAAAAGTCATGCATACACTGTATGATTTTTTTCAATGTTTGCACATAGCTACAGCTCACACTGTAGGACAAAACCTTGCGGTTTCGTCCTACAGTGTGAGTTCACAGCTCACGATGTATGTTCTCACACTGTGCAGCAATCTACCTGCTCAAACCGTACATCTAAAAACCACGTCGGATTGAGGTGGCGCTACTCAGACACGTCTATCCGGAAGCCAAACCAGTAGAAGAGGAATATGAAGCTCACCAGAGAGAAATGCTCTGCCTTGGCAATTTGAGCAATTTCATGTGCTGAAAGCCGTAAGAAGAAAAGGCAGCAATGTATTTGGATAAAGACATGGCTGAGCAAACATGGTTACTACAATCTGTCAATTTTACAGAGAGAACTCCATTTCACTCGCCACCCCTAAATGCTTCTGTGTTTTCATCTGAGAGGAAGATGAAGAAGAAGAATCCTTGTTTGCCCATGCCCACTGAACGAAATGCCCACGATGGTCGTGATTCCTGATTGGTTAGTGGTCCTGATAGACTGATTCCCCTCGTTACCCCTTGTACACTACACGACGCACAACGCACGATCTGGCTGAAAGTCAGGTCGATCGGAAAATTCTCGCACGACTGGAAAGTCGCCAGAAAACAGCAAAAAAATCACACAGTGTAAGCCTGGCTTAATTGTATAACATGAAATCCCTTCCCTCTGTTTAACATTGAACATTATAGAAACAAATAAATAGCCATGCCTGCTAAATATGGGTTATAGCGCTGAAGGAGGAGACACTGAAATAAAGGATAAGAAAAAATGAACATGAATGCATCACTGTCCATTTTAATAAGCAATGTTTTTACATTTATGAGCAGAGCAACTGTAAAAAATAAAATGGTGCTTTCCAGTAAGTGCTGTTCATTTCGCCTCTTTGCTATTTTGTCTCTTTGCAGTTTTTGTCCACATCTAATGGCAGGTGGTACGATTACTTCCATTACATTAGGCTGGGTATGAAATGCTACTGTCTGCATAAGGATGTTTTGTCAAGACCATATCTAAGTCATAGGGGCATATTACATACTCACTTTAATGATGCAAAATTATTACTTTTTAAAGTCTTTTCCGGGAAAATTGTGTGACATAACTCCAATATATGACATGTACTTGTGGCAGCTAGTTTTAAGCTGAATGATCAGATGTAGGGAAGACTGGTGATGGTTATCACATTGTTACAATATTGTTCAAATTTCTTTAAAAAATTCCTTAAAAAAAAGAAAGTATAAAAATATGTTTAGAACAGGGCAAAGTTGCAAAGATTCAGTTCGTAAAACATTTTACTTATAATCCTGTATTGCTCTATTTAAAAATTAGAAAAAAATGGTGATAACAAAAAACAACAGCACTGGGTGTCACACTGTATGGGGATCATTGTCCTAATGTTATGTTAATTGGAGAAGAAAACAAAAATCTATTTATAGCTGAACTTTTCAATGTTAACCTTATTTTACCAATGTACATATATATGGAACAAAGATCAATAAGCAAAACATTCCTTTTTAATTATTTAAAAAAAGTATTTTGTTTATTTTCTTAACTCTGTCAATTAATCTGTTATTTTTATACACTTTTTAAGGTCAATGTGCGTGACCACTTTAGCTATAATCTTATGCTGCTGTAATGCCACAATTTAAAGGATTTTCTATCCTATTCTTTTCTATTTTATTATATTCTAATTTGTAGGGGGAAAAAAATCATTCACTTTAAAGTAAGAAGAATAAATTAAAGTCCATTAGTCCATAGTTTCACGGTTTCTAACTGAAAGGTCCTGATTGATTTTCATAAATCCATCATCTTGTTCTCTTCCCAGTTTTTACCAATGGGTATTGGGTAAATCCCAATTGAATTATCTTACCGACAAATTTTGGGCCTTCTCACCACAATATTCAACAGTTTTTCCATCAAATAATTTTTTGACCATTGAATTTTGATCTAGTTTTTCTTTCTATTTTTTTTCTTTTTATTTTCCTTTTAAAAATTTCAGTCCAAAAATTATTTTACCCTGCTGGCACAGATATTTAGGTCTGACAAAAAACAAATATGACAACCAACACAGATCCCCACATATATTTGACATATTTCAAAAGAGCAAACTTGTCCAAATAGGGATAAAAAAAAAAAGAACTTAATAGGGTGTAAAATGTCTGTGTGTTAATTTTATTTTAATAAATCACTTAAAGTATATCGGTGGTGCATACATTGCTTATGATTACTCCTCTCCATAGTGAAATAAATGCATTATGGAAATTTACACAAAAGATGAAGAGAAACTTTGATAAGAACTTAAAAATCTATGTTTTGTTTAAGTAAAACAGCATGCAGCAAAAAGTCATACACATATTAAACTGCTTGTTTAGCGAGCTGTTTTTTTAGCTGTCTTCTAGGTTAGCCTATTATATCCTCTTTCCACACTATAAAATGACATTAGACTTAGACATTTGCTATATGCTGGCTTAAAATATTTCCTCTAAGGTTTTGCCTTTTATTGGTTAGATAATGTTTTGTGGCTTTTCGTTTAACAAAGTATATGAAGAAGTTTTTCTTTACAGAGGGTGTAATCATTATTTTTCAATATTAGTTTATCTTTTCTATGTAATATAATTTTACAGATTGCACCTTTTTATTAAATAAACCTAAAACCTACTGATTGCTAGTATTTCTATTTTTTTTCCTATGGATGACATACTGATCGGCTGTTGATGTGATTAGGGGCGTGGTTGTGGGTATTGTTGAGTAATGGGGTGTGCTCATGTGTGTGGGCGTGGTCCAGCACACAGTTGCGACTGCTGTTAGGTAGATCGAGGTAACAGGCTTGCTGGCTTGTGTGGTGGCACGTTGGTGTTGGAAGCTGCGGATGACAGCCAGACGAACAGAGGGGGGTGCTCTGACGAGAGCCATGCTGCTGTCCACAAACGCCCCTCTGATAATAAAAAGGGGAAATTTTTTACATAAAACAGGACGCAAAAAAAAAAAAAAAGATATTCAGTCCATTTTTTTTTGTCAAATAATGAAATTATTTGTTTAATTTGACCAAGTTTAGCTACAGATTAACACCTTTACCGTGCCTCTAAAGGTCAAGGGTTTTATGTACTAATAAGACTTCCTCTGCCATAACAAGGGCACCTGAGTAAGTACTCCCTCTAATTCTAATGTTCACATAACTTGCTGTGGCCTCCGTAAATTATCCATCACAGTAAATGTCCTCAAGGATAATGTGTCTCTTACACAACAGTTGTGTGTACGGGCAACTTGAAAAGCCCGTGTGAAAAGTCCTAGTTAAGCATTCTCACATCAAACAAGCAACTACACTGACTCTTCTTTATATACCTTACCCTTAAGCTTTGAACATAGCCATTCAAATGTATTTTACCTATATAAAAAACTTTAATTAAAAAACACAGCTGTAACCATCAGATAAACCTGGTCTGAGAAAAACAGTGGCAATAGCTGCTCAGAGTTGCAGTTTGACCGTACTGACATTGGCTAGGCTCCCAAGTCCTGGTGATTTATCACGTTATTAAGCACATTTGGAACACATACAACAACCTTACAGCCGCTTTGTGCTCTTTGAGTAAAGACAAAGAAAGTAGGGTGAAAAGTAAAAAAAAAGCGCTGAGGTGTGTGATCTGAAACTACATAATTGCAATAGTGGGAGTAATTAGTTTTATCTTTACCAACAGACAATTGAGGTGGCGAAGAAGCTTTCGTAAGTGGATTGCAAAATTGTTGTTTTAAAAAGCTTAAGGAGAGGCATAAATGTACAATTTTGTAAAGCTTTTGTTTCTTTAAAAAAAAGGCTGTTTGGAAAACAAAGAATGGAAATAAAAATGGTTAAATACTACAGCATTCCTATAAAGGGAAACCATGGTTATGGGGGGGAAAAGAAAGGGATGATTACTATTTCTCCCTATTATAAAGCAGTCATGCGTTTTCAAAATTGCATTTAAAGCTTGCAGGAAGCACAGTTTGATTCTCTGAGGAACATGAACAGCTGTGTGGGATGAAATGGAATGCTATTCACCATGATCTGCACCTGTCCGTTCTTGCAGGAGTCAGGGGAGTTTTCACTGTCGTCTTTACATCCCCCCATTCGACAACGCACCGCATCTTGCACCTACGGGATGGGGCGGGGGACAACAGGGAGGGGCGAGTAGGAGATGCCGGAGAGTAAGAGGAAACATAGACAGGAAAAGAAGGAGGGGAGAGGAGTGATAAGGGAGAGGAGGAGATGATGCAAAGGAGAGAAGTTAGTGCAGGCACTTTGATTTTTTCGGTAAATGATGGAGCACAGGGAAGTTATGCTAAAAACATTTGTCCCATGACTTTTGATTTAAACTTACTTACATGCCCCTTTATATAGTCTCAGATTGTGACTATAGGACCATAACCTTAAGTGTACTTTGTGTTTCTGGTTCAGACCAACAACATATTGCATAATTGTGAAATGAAAGAGAAATTTTGGATTATTTTGAGGAAATTTGAAAACTGAGGTAGGAGTTCATATTAAGCTTCTAGCATTCTCTTACCCCAGCATAAAATCCTGTGCAGCAGATTACCTCTACAAGTCACCAAATTTGAAGATGGAGTCAAGCAACTAAAGGGTTACTACTGGAATGTGTTACTCAATAGTGCTATCAAGAACCATGGACCCACTGGGGAGGTCAGATGCAACATTTTGGACAGGTCCAAATGTAGGATTAGCTATATAACAATGTCCTGCATTTTAAATTTGTTGCTTGAACACCATTAAGTCCATTATCTAAAAAAAAAAACAAAAGACAAAGGCTATGTCACAATTGTAGATCTTATAATACTTGGCTATTCACTTTAATGTATTGGCATGGTAACCACAATAGACATGTTTCCATCAACCTTTTTTCTACCCATTTTGAAGTATTGCATTGGAAAAAGTTAATGGAGACAACAAAAAAAACTTTAGGTGTTCAACTTAAAAAAAACAAACAAACAAAAAAAAAAACCTAAATACTAAAGAGGAGATGGAAACAAATTTTTCAAATAAGTCCTGACCTAGTGAACAACCTCCCATTATTGATCAGCCGTTCCTACCGCCGTTGGCATCCTGAACAACAGCATTAGAATTATATTTCTCTCTTCCAGTTTCCAGATAGCATGAACCATCTCTAGCTGACATGATACAGTAAGCACAGCTTGCCCGATTACAAAACATTCAATAAAACCTCATTCAATCACTGATCTGTGGTTCGTGCTAGCTTGGTAACACTAAAAATTTGACCCTAATTTATGGGCACAAACTTGCAAGAGTGCCCTAGGGGCATCTGCCAACTCTAAGATCAATGGTGGAAGTACATAATGGAAGTTGGTCTATAAGTCAAAGTTGTTCCTAACATAATTTAAGTAAGTCATATTAAATCTACCTCTTTAAGGTCAAGTTTCTTAGCTACCAATGTTAAAATACCTGTCAGTCCTCAGTGGATAATCAATATATTTTAGTGGTGGTATTTCACTAATAAGTTGTCTGCCTTAAGCCAGTAACAAAATAAAGAACCTTATCAGGATCATTCAATGCAACTGCACGGCTAAAGGACGATCATGACCCAACCAATCAGCAACACTCTTACCGAGCAGCATGGCTGCCTTCAGTCACCAGGAGCTTCCGGTTAGTTATCTCACTAGTATTAACTCAAAACTTTAAGGTACCTTCAATTCTGCTTTGTTCATTTCGGGTCATATGTTTCAGCTTTTTTGTCCTAAATTTCTCAATGATTATCCTCAGTAATTATTAAAGTGTTGAAGTACACTGCAAATTTTTTTTTTTTTAGCTCAAGTGCATATATAGTAGCTAATAATGTCAATAGTTTTGCATTACTCAAGTATTACTAGAAATAATTATTGTTTTGTCTGTTCTTTTGAATAAGGCCCTGGCAACATATTTTTGTACTTTTCCCAGATTGTTTTTGTATTTCCCTACTTTGTCTAAATGGATATAAATGTGACGTTAAACGACATGTCTACAGCGACCAGACTGGCAATACACCAGCACTACATTTAGAGGTCTTGTCGCAGTCCAAATTAGATGTGCAATAGGGATCTGGTATTTCATTGTGCACTTTTCGGAAACAAACATTAGACATGCAAAGGCGACCTAAATTAGACGTCATACAGCCATGTCCATGCCCATTTATTTAATTTACTTTATGGCATTTTAAGCTGCTGCAGAGGAGCATACACAAGGTTTGTATATATTATTAACAATATCAAATTATCTTGCATGAAAAGTTTAATAAAAAAAAAAAAAAAAAAAAAAACAAGGGATACAGCTTAAGCTGGTCAGGGTTCATAGCAGTCCTTAGAAAAAATAGAGGCTGCAAAAGACTGCAGACTGAAGCACATTATCCTCCAGTAGGAAAATATCTGTCAACATACAGTTAACTTCCAATGAAATATAAATATATTAGAGTGGCTTAGTCAAAGTCTAGGCCTAAATTCAATTTCAAACCCTTAACAAAAAAATAAACTAGCTTTCAGCAAATTTTCTCCATCTAAATATGACAGAACTTAAGACAAGAAAGGTGGGTTTAGAAATTGAAAATGTTTAGGTTAAATATTTAGACTAGACTTTTATTTGTAACAATGTTTAAACCTATTCATATGTCTATTCCCTATTTACAATTACAGCGTCTTATATCACACTAAAATACACTACACTTTATTTTTGAAATTAGGCAGTTGTCATACTGTTTGTTCATATTCTCACACGCACCACATTGAGGTAAAGTTTTACCAGTTGAAATGAAAACTACATGGGTCCTGAAATCCCAAACCAGATTCTTGCCTTGTCACCAGGTTGTGTTTTATTGATGCTTGCCTCACTTTCCAATGTGTAGCGTCATTTCCCAGAGCTGCCACTGTCAAATGCTAGGTTCTCCCGAGTGAAAACAAGACAGACTTGAGGAAGAAGTTATCCAAGAGGTTTGTTCTCATGAAACCATCTTTGGTTGCATTGGGCTCCACTACAAATGGAATGGATTGCATCCCCATCTGATTAATACTGCATGGCCAAACATATTTGCTCTATTGTTTCCTTTTGTCTGTCTCTTCCATTTATGATCATGCTCATCCGCTCTGACATCTGCTGCCTGCTCACTGTGTGAACCATGAGAGAATGTCTGTATGCTGGTAATGAACTGCAACTCATCCCAGCATTATATTTCTTTTCCCTGCCATTCGTGAATCTCTAGAACTTCTGAAGGGTAACTAGGGAGCTTTTGTCCATAGTTATGTAGTGTTTAAGATGTGAGGATCTACACTATATTGCCAAAAGTATTTGCTCACCTGCCTTGACTCACATATGAGCTTAAGTGACATCCCGTTCCTAATCCATAGGGTTCAATATGACGTCGGTCCACCCTTTGCAGCTAGAACAGCTTCAACTCTTCTGGGAAGGCTGTCCACAAGGTTTAGGAGTGTGTTTATGGGAATTTTTGACCATTCTTCCAGAAGCGCATTTGTGAGGTCGCACACTGATGTTGGACGAGAAGGCCTGGCTCTCAGTCTCCGCTCTAATTCATCCCAAAGGTGTTCTATCGGGTTGAGGTCAGGACTCTGTGCAGGCCAGTCAAGTTCATCCACACCAGACTCTGTCATCCATGTCTTTATGGACCTTGCTTTGTGCACTGGTGCACAGTCATGTTGGAAGAGGAAGGGGCCAGCTCCAAACTGTTCCCACAAAGTTGGGAGCATGGAATTGTCCAAAATGTCTTGGTATGCTGAAGCATTCAGAGTTCCTTTCACTGGAACTAAGGGGCCAAGCCCAGCTCCTGAAAAACAACCCCACACCATAATCCCCCCTCCACCAAACTTTACACTTGGCACAATGCAGTCAGACAAGTACCGTTCTCCTGGCAACCGCCAAACCCAGACCCGTCCATCAGATTGCCAGATGGAGAAGCGCGATTCGTCACTCCAGAGAACGCGTCTCCACTGCTCTAGAGTCCAGTGGCGGCGTGCTTTACACCACCGCATCCGACGCTTTGCATTGCACTTGGTGATGTATGGCTTGGATGCAGCTGCTCGACCATGGAAACCCATTCCATGAAGCTCTCTGCGCACTGTTCTTGAGCTAATCTGAAGGCCACATGAAGTTTGGAGGTCTGTAGTGATTGACTCTGCAGAAAGTTGGCGACCTCTTCGCACTATGCGCGTCAGCATCCGCTGACCCCGCTCCGTCAGTTTTAGTGGCCTACCACTTCGTGGCTGAGTTGCTGTCGTTCCCAAACACTTCCATTTTCTTATAATACAGCTGACAGTTGACTGTGGAATATTTAGGAGCGAGGAAATTTCACGACTGGATTTGTTGCACAGGTGGCATCCTATCACAGTTCCACGCTGGAATTCACTGAGCTCCTGAGAGCGACCCATTCTTTCACAAATGTTTGTAAAAACAGTCTGCATGCCTAGGTGCTTGAATTTATACACCTGTGGCCATGGAAGTGATTGGAACACCTGATTCCAATAATTTGGATGGGTGAGCAAATACTTTTGGCAATATAGTGTATATACCAGACAAATCAGTCTGAAGAGTTAAGGTAGGACGTATAGTTTTGCATTTCACAAATTTAGCTTTCTTTGAAAAAATGGCAAACAAACAAAAAAAGAAGTCTAATCAAGAGATCTAATCCAAGAATATACATGAAGGCACTCCAGTCAGATGAGACTAAACCTGAACTTTTAGGCAAAAATGTCAAAAGCTTTGTGTTGGTAAAACTTAACAATGCATACCACCCTAAACACACTGCACTTTCTATACTGATATTTACCTATTGTAGATATGTACTGTCAGAAATGGCAACTACCTCCAAGAGGATCATGCCTCTAATATGTTAGTGGTGATGTTTTTGTTTGTTTGATTGTTTGTTTTTGTTTTTTTCTGCAAGATGTACAGTTAATCTGGAAAGATTGAACGGAAGTAAGCCATTAGATGTTGCCATTGTCCTCTGCTGGTCTGGAGGGCTTCCTGTTCTTCTCACCTCACACCTGCAGCCTATTGGGTCATCACTTCCTGAGAAGTATTTAAGGAGCAGACTGTCTTCACTTCCTCGCCAGAGTGTTTGCCAGTTTTGGGTACTCTAGTCC